CCCCCCCTCTATACACATACACATCCACCCACATGGACACTCACGCACAATTGCATTTCAGCACAAAAAGAGCTGACACTGTTCAATTAGAGTGGTTTTAAAACAATGACGAGTGCTGCAGGCCCATCCCGTGTCTGTAAACAGGACAAGTCACGCTAGCATCTCCCTATCTCCCTTGGGGTGTGTAGGGCTTTTCAGAGATTTGTGTTGCGACGAGACAGAATCAGGTGCTCGTCAGTTTTGGGGCATAGATCTAGATCTAATTATGTGTCACGACGCGGTGGGATCAGTTTTGGGGCATATTGAGTTATTGCTTTAAGATTAAAGCGTGTCCACTTACCTTGCTCTTGATGAAAAAATACCCCGCCTATCCCAAATAGAAGTCAAGACATTTGCAATTGTTGGCGTCAGAGGTAACATTTACGAGAAAATAGCCACCAAAGTTTGGTGACTTTCAAAGCTGTAGTGTCCTCGGAAACTACAAGTTTACATTATTTTGAGCCTTTAAATGTTTTTCAATAACTTCCATGCAGGAATGTGTTTTTAAATGCTCGTAAAAGGTGCTGAGCCCAAAACAAAACAGAACAAAACAAAAATCGACAAAAATCGACAAAAGTTACCATGCGGAAGAAAAAGCGTTGTCTTCTTGAATTTCTCAATTTTTACAAACGCTTGACTTTACCACGATGCATTACCTTATTTGTTCAAGTCTTGTTTTACAATCATGAAAGAGAAATCAGTCACCTTACCCTTGACCCAAGCTTGTTTGTTATAAACTTTAAAAAGGGATTAAAAAGAGCAGTGCTGTTTATAGACTTTGCGAATTTTAAATTGTTGTGCGCAGACCAAGGCTCGCTGACTTTTTTTTACTTTCTCAAGCCTCTGTTACCTTACGGTATCGAGGAAAGAAGCAAAAAACGTTCCCCTTATTTGTTGTATCGCCTGTTGCATGGTTATGCTATTTTTGTCTAAAAATGTTCTTTCTCCCTTTATCTATCTTTTCCTGGACCTGCCTCTTTCTCTGTATCCATCTGATCTTTGGCTGTAAACTCTCCCTGCTTTACTGCCTAGAGGTAGATCTAGATCTAGTCTTTACAGATGTCCAAAACGTTTTATTTGTCTGGATTGTTTTGTCCCGAGTTCTGATTTTGAGGCGGATATTTGTAGGTAGCGTAAAAATGTGCCAACATGATGCAGATTGTGAAGCTTCAAGAAAAAACAAAACGAGAAGCAAAATATTATTTTTTATATTTGTCTTATATCTATGCACCCTAAGTAAAGAGTCGACCAAAACTAAAAACAATAAATGATAGTTCGTCAGTGCCTGAAGATGACTAATGCATCTGTTGCGTGAAGCTGAAAAAAGGGTTAAAGTGACTGTTGCCTTATGCTATAATAGCCCATGAAACCAGTTGATGACAATGATGATGACAATGACAATCTTTATTCATCTCGCAGGGAGAAATTTGTTTTGGTCGTTCACAATGGCAGGGGAATTTACAATGATTAGGTGCGCTCACGCATACACACAACAAGATACGACATTGGTAAAATTATACAATATGTCTCACGGCCGATAACCGCTTGACGCATTTTGAGCATTTGAAAGATTTATTTCCACTAGAGGATGTAAACAGGTTACGGCTTACGGGCTTCTCTCTCGGCTTCAGAATTTCTACAAAGCATACGATTGTTTCATCTTAAATAAACTAGGGAGGTATGTTTAAAGAAAAGCTATTTGTAACAATAAAAGTGTTTGACGTGAAAACGACTTTAAACAGCGGCATCATTTATTGATGCTATTAATTCCAACTTCAAGTGAAAAGATTGTAAAAAGCGCAGTTGTTGCGCATAGATTAAAAACTCAAAAAGCGTTTCGTCGTAAAGGAACCGTTGAGGCGTGTTTGAATAAAACGAAATCTTTAAGAATGAAAATAACTATATGATTTCTAACACTCCAGAACTCAATTCCTCTGTAATATCCTATGTGTGACTGGCAATGCTTTGTTTGTTATCACCTTAAAATACCTAAAATCGACGTTTCATAATTTATTGATACTGTGAATTCGAAACGCACTACTTGCGAATAGATAAAAAAATCCCAGAAATCGTAATTATGTAATAGTGGCAAATAAAAGGTTGAGGGACGTTTACAGAAAGACAGCTGATAGAAAAT